TAATATTTATAGTTTTCTCAATTTGTTAAAGTAAAAATCCAACTAGACTATCCGCATGGGGCTTTGTGTCTATGTTGTTCTAGAACTCTCCAGTATCTAATATAGAAAATAATTATCTTCCAGAGCATGTATTATCTTGTTTATTTGTCCTCTAGAGGAAAAATATTATTGATATTGCTGTTATGTACTCACAAAAGCCATCTAACTCCATCCTCCTGAGCCTTCAGACACAAAGCCTTACCTAATGGGAAAGTGCTGACCACTACTTGGGGAAAATCTTCTGCTGTTATCTGTCTCCTAATGAAAATCCTACAAAAGTACTCTGTGGATTTACTAAAGTAGAATTGAATCCTTAAAGGAAACAGAAAGAACCACATAAGTCCCTAGGAGTCTGACCTTTTCTTTTAACTTTTTCAACTCTACTCAAAGTCTATTTACTAGAAATGTGACCCATTTACAATTATAGAGAGAGATGAAGTTCAGCAAATAGCCTATCCATGTGTCTCAGTAACTCTCCAATAAAAACCAGGGTCATTGACAATTGATGTTTCAATTGATACACTATCTTAATCCATTTAAAGAAGTGAAAGTAAGAACTGTATCATGGGCTGGAGAGATGGCTCAGAGGTTAAGAGCACTGACTGTTCTTCCAAAGGTCCCGAGTTCAATTCCCAGCAACCACATGGTGGCTCACAACCATCTGTAATGAGATCTGGTGCCCTCTTCTGGCCTGTAGTCATACATGCTATATACATAATAAATAAATAAATCTTTTTTTTTAAAAAAAGAACTGTATCACAAGTCTGTGAACTGCCAGTTTCTTGTCTTTAAGGAGAAATTACAGAACAACTGAAGAACCTATCTGTTCATAACAATGACTCAGCAGTTTCAAAGTTGGAATTGGTATACCTTGATTTGGTTCTCATCACTTTAGATATGTTATTAGGTATAATTATTTAAAGGATGTTTTATAAAACTGTAATGTGATGTTGCACATTTATAATTACTAAACAAAGACATAATAAGACCACTTTGGAGCTAGAGATGTGACTCAATGGAAGAGAACTTGCCTAGCATGGTGTAGGCCCCTAGACCACATACACAAAAGCAAAAAGAAGATCTCTACTAGCCACTTAGGAAAAGCACACAGCAATGTGATCTGGGATCTAAAGTTCTAAACCATCTGTGGGAACTTTTAAGATGATAATTATGCAAGTTTTAACATTATGGTTAATTTTTGGACAATGCTCCTCTCTCAATTTACTTACAAATAATTTTTCTGTTTTCATGATTTTCACACATGCATAGCTGTTAAATCTTTTTTTTTATTTAACTGGCTGATTTCTTTCCTTCTTGTTTTTACTAAAGACAATTATTCACCTAACTGCAATTATCCCAGTTTATTCTACTGTAGTAATTCTCATAAAACTAGCCCTTCATTCATCATGCAAGCACACATTATATAGTAATACTATATTAACTGAATGTACCATTTCAATGTTAGCTCCAATCTTAAGAACTTCAGGAAGACTGGCTTATTTGGAAAACTAACCCTTGAGAAGGATCAAGTATGAAAATTCCAAGAATCTAGCATAGACTTTATCTCTCATGGCCACTGTTTCAGAGACCCTGACAAAGAAGTTACCCAAGATTGGTTAAAGCCTTTTCTGGGCCCTACAATTGGTAGCTGATATTCAAAGATGAGTATAAATTATACTGACCTATACAAGCACATAATAATAATGTGCTAGGATTCATTCTTTGTGGGAGCCCACAACTGACTGAGTTTCCCAATTTGAATCTGAAGTCTATTCTGAGTCAATAGAGTTCAAGCTTGCTTGCTCCAGGGCTGTGAGAAAGTCCTGATTAGCCCACAGAGTCTCCTTGAAGGGCTGTGAGAAAGTCCTGATTAGACCACAGGAAGGAACACACTATCTAGCTAGACGCAGGCTGCTGATGCCAGCCGGAGGTACATCGAGATAGAAAATGAAACTGCCTGCTCCTTGACGCAAGGCAGGATAGATAGTGGTTGAATGCCTATGTTGTGCATTGTTCTACCTCTGTCCTTCAAAACTGTATAGAAGCTGACTGTGAAATAAACTCAGGGCTGTCCAGCATTGACTGGCAGACCTCTCGACTCTTTTCTGTCTTCTTCATTGTCTCTTCAATTCGCATGCCTCTACCCAGCTACCCAGCTTACTGTCGGCAGACTCCAACAATTCTTAACTTCCTAAACTTATTCCCTGTCAAGAAACATGATTACACCTTTAATACCAGCACTTGTGAGGCAAAGGAAGGCAGATCTCTAGGAATTTGAAGCCATCCTACTCTACAGAGTGAGTTTCAGGACAGCCAAGGCTACACAAAGAAACCCTGTCTTGAAAAACTAAGATGATGGTGATAATAATCATCATCATCATCATGATTAGAATCACTAATATTGTCAATTTCCATAGAAATACAAATTAATATTTTTTTCACCTGGAACAATGGGACAGAAATTGATTATTCCACACATTACAAATATGCTTTGAAACCAAGAGTACTGTCATATATGTGATAGCCATAATGAAAAAATAGTATGAAGACTATTAAAATCCAAACTATACAAAACCACAACCATAAATGAATATTTTTTTCAAACACTAATGTAAGCAGATACGAAGTCACAACAAAGCAGCACACCAAACACATCATCTTTCTATTTTTTATGAGTTTAAAATACTTTTTAAGTTTTTGAGTATGTGATAACATTTTATTTTGATCATATTTATCCCTATTCACCAATGCCTCACAGATCAAACTTTCATGTCATAACCATCCTTGTGTCTTTATCTCCCTTTTTAAGGCATGGAGTCTCATTAGTGTTGGGGATATATATATATATATATATATATATATATATATATATATATATATATCCTTGATTGTACAGCCATTTACTGGAACTTATTAGACCTACTAGGAGCCACATCTTAAAGAAATCTAACTCCCTATACTGACAGCTATCAATTACCAATACCTCCTCAAGTAAGGGTGGGTTTCATACTGACCTCCCTTCTCTTTGCTAGGATTTTGTATGGCTTGAGTATGCAAAGATCTTGTGTATGCAGTCACAACCTCTATGAGTTCATACATGAAACTATACTATTTTGTAGGGAGAACATTATTTCCTTGCAGTCATCTACCAGTCTTGATTCTTATATCCTTTCTAAATGACCCCGGAGACTTAGAGAGGGGGGTCATGTAATATAAATGTCCCATCTAAGGCTGAGGTCTCTCTGGTCACCTATTTTATGAACATTGAACAAGTGTGCATCTCAATGGCAATCTTCTACTACTACAAAAAATAGAAAAACTAAAACACCTTAGCTGATGAGGTTTGAGAGATGTACTAACTAATCTATGGGCATAGTGAAAAATCACAAAGGCCTAAATCCTAGGACTTTGCTAGCCATAATTTTTCATTTATTCATTTATTTATTTTACAGTCTAACTGAAGTTTCCCCTCCTCCCTCTTTTCTCAGTCCCTCCCCAACACCTCCTTTCTGCCTCCCCCAATCCACTCTTCTCCCATTTCTATTAATATACTGGCAGGCCTCCCATGGATGTTGACAAAACACAGCATATCAAGTTATAGTAAGACTAAGCACCTTGCCTTGTATTAAAGCTGGGCAAGTTATCTGAAGATGGAAAGATCTCCCATGCTCATGAATCAGTAGAATAAACACAGTAAAAACAGCCATCTTACCAAAAGCAATCTACAAATTCAAAGCAATCACCCATTAAAATCCCAACACAATTCTTTACAGACCTTGAAAGAACAATACTCAACTGCATATAGAAAAACAAAAAAACTCAAGCTAGCTATAACTATCTTGAACAATAAAAGAACTTCCAGAGGTGTCACAATCCCAGATTTCAAACTCTACTACAACAAACTGCATTGTATTGACATAAAAAGAATCAGGTGGATTAATGGAATCAAATTGAAGACCCAGATACAAATCCACACACCTAAAGACACCTAATTTTTTACAAAGAAGCCAAAATTATACAATGGAGAAAAGAAAGCATCTTCAACAGATGGTGCTGGTATAACTTGATGTTGGCATGTAGAAGAATGCAAATAGATCCGTATCAATCACCCTGCACAATACTCAAGTTCAAGTGGATCAAAGACCTTAACGTAAATCTAGATACACTGAACCTGATAGAAAAGAAAGTGGGGAATAGCCTTGAATTCATTGGAACAGAAGACAACTTCCTGAATAGAACACCAATAGTCCAGATACATCATCTTTATTTAATTATTGCATTACTTTAGGTCATTTTAATCATGTGAGTATCGACATATAATAGGTATTTTAATGAAGTGGGAAAATATGCATAGGAAAGGTGAAATTTTAAATCTGAAGCTATAAATGTAGTTCTAAATTTTACAGTAGCTAAACATTCTTGTTTTATATAGTACTATATAATCGCAACACTATGGATATACCTATTACATAAATGAAATATTACTACATATTACTGTACCTAAGAAAATTATCCACAACATCAATGTTGTCTAAATACATTTTATTCAATTTTCAAAAGTACAAACTTTAAAACCAATGTATTTTTATATGGGTGATCTGTATTGAAATGTTAAAATCAAACAAATCAAATAGACAGAAAATGCAGTATTCAATCTCTGCAAGACAGTAAATCAGTTTTTCCAAAACCTTTGCTCATTGTCTTTCAGAATCAAACATCTGAGTGACTGAAATTGATTGGAAAAAATATGGCAGATGATGATATGAATAGAAGTGGTGAAGAGAAAAGCAAGATATTTTACACCATTACTACTTCATCATAAAAGTTGAAGCTGCAAAAATGAAGAAAATGTTATTAAAAGTAACAAGCTATGAAGACATTGAATTGGTTCATTCTATAGAATCAAATAAAAAACAATTACTTATTCAGAGAGGATTATTAATACACAAAACATTAATATGTAACACATTCAAAAAACTTTAATAACAGAAATCCATAGCACTGTATTTTATAAGCAATAGTGTATAATGATCATTTCACTATTCATAGGAGAAATATGAACTGTTAGCCCTGAGATCTTGTTTCCAATTTGGCAATAAAACACAACATTACATAAAGTGTATTGTATTGATTTGGTTTAAATTTCAAATTTTACACATTTTCTTTCATTTCAAGCCAAGATCATGATTGTAGAGAATCTGAATAGTGTAAACCATTGCCAAGAGAATCTCAGAAGTAGATAGTGCTTTGCTATACACTTCAGTCACTCAACTTAGGTGCCTTCCTTCCTCCCAGCCTTCAAAACAACCAGGCATAGAGCAGTGCTTTACCAGAGTTAGTCCTTCTGTCAGGAGAGTTCAAAATATCAAGTTTAATTCAAATGGAACCAACAGATTCTCCATTTTTCTTTAATCTTTCCTCTACCTTTCTTACCAATACCAGCCAAGTTGTATTTTTCTTTCTATAGTTTCTCTCAATTTACATATGATAATGGTATACATAACGTACAAAACAAAATCCCCCAGGCTATTCTCCTTGTCTTGTAAGTGATCTTATATACCACATATAAGTGGAAGGTTATCTAAACACTAGTCATATGCCTCTAAATATTTCTGATACAGCTGCTATGGCCTCTTAAGTAGCTTACAATTATGGACTCCTCATACCACTTTTGTGATAAACAAAGCTTAGTGACAATAAGTACATCGAGAGCATACCATCCTGAATGTGCTAACTACTAAAAGAGTCAAAACAGAAAGAAAACATAAATGGTCATAATTCTTAGTTGTACTTATCTCCTACAAGAATTCAGATGTACAAAGATAATCATTTCTCCAAAAAGTAACACCACCACAATGGAAACTCAATGAAGCATAAAAAACAAGAGAATACGGTTGTTATTGTGGTCTCTTATTTGATTCAGTCAATATTTAGTTGATTCCTACTACAGATGTCACACGAGTTCCCGACTAGTCTGGTTTGATATTTGTAAGTTAGGTGTGCTTAATTCAGTACTATTTCGATGGGAAGCATTACGAAGATTATAGAGTGCTAAAGAGTGGAGGAGGGCTTCTCGGGCTTTGGAGGCCTCTATGTTCTGCTCTTGAGAGATTTGAAGGCTAATTTGATTAACATTATTCATCAGTATATTAGAGGCCATGAGGTTGGTTATAGAGAGGCACCTGGTAAGATTTTCTTCCAAAAACTGTTTGTAGAGTTCATCTACCTTTTTTTCCATGTAACTATTAAGCATAGAATTAGAGAGGGGTTGCTTATGTAATAGCATACTTTTTTCTCGAATCTCATCCCCATTTAATAATTTTGAAGTGGATGTATTCTCTAGAGGCTCAGTTTTAGGAGAGTGGCCCATTGATATATCCACTGAAAGTAAAAGAGGACCATTACAAACATCGTCATGGGCATGTTCCACAAAGCAGCCAGAATCATACATGTTTCTAACGTGGTCACCTCCTATCTGTAGGTCAGGATAATTCTGGCAAATACTTGTACATGACCAAGACCGATATAAATCCAGTTGTGTGTCATCATGTCCCCTCTTTGGAATGGGCAATGCAATGGATACATTTCCTGGAAGAAGTGTACTTTTGAATTTTGCAACAGGTAGCTCATCCACAGATTTCATTTGAGATGTATTATCACCTTCTTCAGTTAGACTTCCTTCTATAACTTTCTCTTGATTTCCCATCTTAAGAGCAGAAGGTGAATTGTCCTGTATATTTAAAATTTTATTTTCCCAATTTTCCTTTTCATCATTTGATGTCTTCTTACATCTTAGTGGCTTATGAAATTTTGCATGTTTCTCTTCTTTGTAAAGGAATTCTGTTAGGAAGGCTTCTCCAAGCATTTTCTTAGGCAAGTTCTTCTAAAAATATGAGTAGATATATTCCTACAATATAAAAGAACTAATTAAGGCAATTCACATTAAAAGTCAAATAAGAATTTTCTCTTACATGAACCATGTTTTAGGGAAGAACTGTTGCTTAAAGAACAGAGAATAAGACTCGAAATATGTTGATTCCTTTTTAATACTGTTTAACAATTGGGAATTTACTTATTTCTGGCTCTCAATTTACTCACCAGTTAAATGATAATATTACCCTCCCCCACCTTTTCATGGGGCTATTGTGAGGATATTACATAGCACTCATACAAGTATTTAAAAAACGCAAACTCTAGGATATGTATAACTGTCTATATCCAGCTGTCTTTTAGTATTTAGTTAGAAATTAACAAATGCCTAGCCTTTTACTGCCCAAAATTCCACTTAAAACACTTAACTTATGAAAATTTTCTGAACTAAATTATAAACATAGCTATCTCTTTTCTCATTAATGTAGGTATCTCAAATTTACTACTGTCTTTTCTTTCCATTTCTTTTTAAGTTTTTCTTTTTATTCTTTTTGACTCAAATATTTCTTCCTTATTCACTTATTTCATTCTTTTATACTACCAATTAATGCAATTTTAAAAGTTTAAAATTTCCCTATAAACTCCTGTGTAAAAAGTTAGGCATGTTGGTTCACACCTGTAATCCCAGCAAACAGCAAGCTGAAGCAATAGTATAATAATTCAAGGTCAGCCTCGGCTAAATGGCAAAACCTGCCTCTTGCATACCAAAATAAAAGCAAACAATAGAAGAATGAAAACTATCATTCACCTTTATTCAAAACAGAGCTTTCATTTCACAAGTCTATAGTATATATAATACATGTTTCCAGGAAATCCATTTATGTTAATGTTTGAAAGAATTTGAGAAGAAAATGAAACAACAGAGATCAAACAAAGCAAGAGTTTGGACTTACGATGTTCTCCAAGTATCAGGATACCGAAGGATTTGGTCTTCTGAGATGCAAACAGTTCAAGCTGAGAAAAAGTCTTTTCTCTCTGGTTCGCGTCTCAGTGTCTGCTTACATCTTACAACGGAGGACGACAGCTTTAGTCACGTAAATTGGTTCTGCTTTCCATTCATACCCCAGGACTGAAACCCTAATAGGAAAATGATGTGGGTTGGTCACATGTGTGGCATGGTAATGACCATGTACCAAAAGAGGATCTGAAAGTGTTTATTCAAGTTTCCAATGACAGAGAGTGGGAAAATATTAACAGCAACAGTTCTTCATGTATGTTAAGACAGAAACAAAGTTATTTTCACTTTTAAGTAGGGCAAGAGTGGACAGTCTCAGCATCTTTCATAAAAACAATTTGAAATAAAGCAAAGGAGCATCAAAAAGAAAATGAATCAATAAATTGTGATACACCAGTGACATGAAATACTAAATTAAGCATTTCTTTAAAAAATACTTTTATTAATTCTTTCAGGGGTTACACCCTTTAAAAAACTGTCTCTCCCTCCCCCTCAGAAGCCACCAACTGTTGATAGACCTTCAGTTATGGTTGGAGGAGGGAGTCATGAGCCACTCTGCCCTTCATGTTAGAATGGTGACTCGCTTGATCTCGTACAGGTAACCACAGCTGCTCTGAGTCCATGAGTGTGCTGGCCAGGTTCTGTCCTGAAGACACTGTTTTCCTCTGCTCCTTCCTAACCTCTGGGTGTTACAACCTTTCCACACCCTCTTCCACGATGATCTCTGAGGAAATGGAGCATTTCTAATGATTTTTGATACTAAATTGATTGTTTCTTTGATTTTGTTGTTTCCAACAGGTAGCACTGGCTGACCTAGAATATGCTATGGAGAACAGACTGGTCTTAAACTTGTGACCATTCTCTTGTCTCTGTCTCTCAGGAGCTAGGATTGTAGACATGTGTCAACATACTTGGCTACATGGCAATCATTCTAAATTGTCATATAGATTATTAATTTAAGAAACACATTATTGTCCATTTTACAGAAGAAAAGGCAGAGAAAAGGGTTATGTATTTGTTGACAGTCACAAAACTAGTAAGTAACAGAACTAAGATTTTTAGCAAAAAATTGGATTAAGAGCACTGCAGTATATGTTATGGATATGTGTAAAGTATGTGCACTGCAGGGAAATAGACACAGTTTGACTCCACCATGAATTGTGTGTGTAATATGTCAAACACTATTCAGAATATTCCACACATACCAATTTAATCTTCATAAAATTTCAGGAAACAAATACTATTTTTCCTTATGAGGAAAATGAAACACAGAAAGAAGTTAGGGAACATGTTCAGTTTCAGAGAAGTGTAAAGAGTAGTTTGGGTTTGAATTCAAGTAGCTTAAAAATCAAACTTCCATGCTTAATTTCATTGCTGAACTAGTTTTGTGCTTTTCATTGCCTTAATATATGTCAACATGCTAGTGAAAAAAATGATACAAATCAAATTGTTTATAGTAGTTTCCTATGAAGAGAAAGTGACAGGAAACAGGTAAATTGATAATTTTAAAACTTACTTTCTATATTTCTATATGAGTTGAATACAGGTGTAATTACTGTGTATCTATGTTGTACTGGGATACTGAAAGACAAAATACTTCACATAGATAAAAGACTTTTCTATCATCTTTAGAATATGCTTTACCAAGCTTACAAAGGTCACACCCATTTTTGAATGTCTTTTAGTAGCACATAAAAACTTCCAAAGAAGATTGACAAGTACACTTTTAATATACGTTATATTTGGGGCTTGAATTAGTAATATATCTTTTTTATTATATTTAATAACTTTAAATGAATCAAAAACAAGCTAAAGACAGATCTCATTTTGTATGTCATACCAATAAACTCCTTTTAGGTTGTCAAAGTTATCCTCCCATGAGAAGTACTTCATTATAAGAGCCCAGTGAAGTGAGGAGACATGTCAATAGCTCACACTAGAAGATAATGGAAGAATGAAGAACTTAGAAGATATATTCCATCAAAGCCACCACAGAAGACTATTTAAAAAGAAACTAGAAAATTTGAATCCCTCTTTATATTCCATCATTTTGATTATTCCATCTAGTTTCTTCCCTTCATCCCTACATCTCACAGGCACAAGTTCCATTAATGCCCTGTCCTTAAAATGTCTGCCTTTCAAACCTAGCATTACCTTTCCATACTTGATAATAGCTGATTCTAACCTTGTCCCCCATAACATTTAGCATACTAGTTGATCAAACTTTTATATAAACCTAAAGTCATCAAAGCCTTCTGCTTACTCAATGATTAATAAGAATATATATATATATAATATATATAATAATAATATATGTATACACACAATTGTGTGTCTCAAAGTAAATTAATCTTAGGCAAGTTTTTCATTTAAGCATCATAGCAAATCTTCAAGGTATAATTATCTGCAATTTTATACAATAATAAAAAGCCTCAAAAGTATTAAAAATCAAAATCCAACATGAAACCAAACTCGATTTCCACTGTTCAACCCAGTTTCCATCTTCTAATTTCTCTATGTACTCCTAAATCTCAAGTAACCAGATTACGTAATTACAGAGACAAAAAAACAGGAATGATCCCATTGAACAACCTTGCCATCTACTTGGAGCCTAATATCAGTGATGTCTTATGTAAGCATTTGGAGCCTAACTCTCTCTGACCAGTGGTAACTGAACCAAAAGCACCAGTTTCAAGAAAGGTAAGTTACTCTGTAAAATTTGCTACTAATAAAACAGGAAGATAGCCACCTATGTACAGAATGTACTAACAGCCCTTGAGATATGGCCAAAAACTTCCCTCTCAATTACTGTGAGACTCCCACGTACTCTGAAGCCTTGTGATGTCTTCGATGTGAAATCATCAGCCGTGTCTTTGCAGTCTATTTCAACAAATCCTCACTTTTACTCTCTGTTTTCATCTCTGGTGAATATCTTTGGTAAACACATTTACAGCCTGTGCATTTCTGGCTTTTCAAGATGCTATCTCAAACACAGCATTCATGACTGTTCCTTCCACCTTAAAATGTTTTATTATCGTATTTTCCCAGCAGTATACATGCCTCAAGTTTGTTAAGTTCTGTTATTCCAGGATGCTTGCCTTGACCCATGTAATATGGTTTGATTTGATCTGCATTGTATTTATCTCATTTTATGGATTCTCACTCGGTTCCTTGAAAACAAATACTTTGTCTTATCCATCGATGTTATCTCTAGCACCCGTCAATAGTAACACTACAATGAAGCCACACACTTGCACATGTTCAATTCATTTGATCTCTAAAATGAAATTGTTGGATAGGTACCACCATCCTCACTTCAACAAAGATGAAATTTTAACAAACTCATTTGCTCCAATCTCGCCGACCTCTTCCTCCTTCACCACTAGGTCTCATGATATGTATCCAGGCTGGCTGTAACCCTTTGCCCATCTAAGCATGTTCTCGAACTTCTTCTGGTCTTCCTGCTTCCATCTCCTTCTGAGAGCTGGCATTACAAATATGTGCCACTACTCCTGCTATATATGGTGCTAGGCATGGACCCAGGACCTCAGAAGCACTCTACCAAACGAGCTGCATCTTCGGCCACAAATTCATTCTTATTAGTGGATAGAGCCACGTAGCACAATATTGTCTTATAGAAAAAATAGCATACTTAAGACCTTCACTCCCATTATATATCCACTTTCGGCAAACTCCTTAAGTTACAAATGTTATCAGTATCTTCCACAATCAAAACAATAAATAAATAAAGCTAGGGGCTGGAGAGACGGCTGTTTAAAAGTGTGTATTAGTCTTCAAGAGGACCAGAGTTCAATCCCCAACATCAGTGTCAGGTCGCTTCCAAGTGGTTCCCTGTAACTACGGGCCATTCAGGGCTGCACTCACGTGCACACACCTTCACACAGGCACGGATATATAATTTAAAATAATTTTTAGAAATCTGAAAAAAATATAACTAGGCAATATACAGTGAAAAAAATGAACTATGGTTATTTCGAAGAGGAAGCAGACATTTTACACCGGGAACAGAGGGGGTGGGGGAGAAGAGGAAGTACTAAGAGGGGTAGGGGACTGTTGCACAAATTGAAGGGTTGGCCTCATGACGCAAAGGGCAAGCCTGCAAAGCACATTTCAACATGGGAGCTGGGTGGGAAAAAGGAAAAGAGAACTTTTCTGCGATTAAAATGGGGGCAATGTTTCTATGTTGGTCATGTCTTCCCTGGATCTGTTTGTATCGTCCTTATAAACTAAGGCAACACGACTTTGTCTCTTTGCTTCACATGCCACACTGTATTTTAATGATTTTCCTCCCTTGTCTCTGTCCCAGAGGAAGCAGTGGTGGCCAGCAAGAAAGCAGCAGGCCTCCCTTCCTAAACAGAGAAAGAAACCCCGTCGAGTGCAATTGTTTTTTCTGCTCCACCCCAGCCCTTGGCAGATGGGCTGAGAAAAGAGGTGTTAGCTAGTGCGTATTACTCTAGGGAGCACAACCTCGACTCCCCTCCCTTCAGGGCAAGGGGGTGGGGCTTTTCTGATCTCTAGTCACTAAGCACCAGCTTTTCTAAGTAAGAATGGGCACCAGCCTGCGCCACAAGGGGCATATTGCTCCTTAGCCAAGCCTGAGTGCAGGCCCTTAGCAACCCTCACAAAGAAAGCAAGACTCAGCCAAGCTCTGTGTTCAGTCTTCAGGAAAGCGGTAACCAGAAAGGGAGCTGACCTCAACTTACCAGCCAAGGGTTCGTTCGCTCACTACTTTTGAAGATCAATCGCACATTGGAAACCATGAGTAACATTAAAATTTATTATACCAGCGTATCATGCTCTAGGGAGGTGAGTAGGAAGGGCCTCAGCTGGAGGGAAGAAACAGGAGCAGATTAAGGTAAAAACACTGTAGTTGGGTACTTCAAGATTTTGCTAAGAGTATCATAGCCTTTCTGCCTTTTTAACTTTTATTTTATTTTATTTTATTTTATTTTACCATGGTGAATGGAGGTGGGGCATGCAAGGACCTACCAAAAGGCTGGTTAACTCTCTTATTCAGACTGTGCTCTAAGAATTGACTGATATTGAAAGTTTCTGGTATCTGGAACTCAACT